ATAGGTTTTTCACATTTCGATGCGATTGTCTTATCCACTAATGAAATATTCCGTCCAGCACACGTTCATGCTTTTTGTATGAGGCGATGCTTTTAATTAAGTAATAAAATACCGCTCTAATTTGACTCTCATTCGCTTAAAATATTTATGCAAACCATTGTTTTCCTAGTTATTACTTCAAACATACCAAACATATAAAAAAAACCCACACATTTGACTCGTAACTTCTCCTGTCTCCACACACTCATTTGAAAAAAGATAATTTGTTTTTATTCAAACTCTCGTGTAAATGAGCAAATTTATTGTTTTTATTCATATGCACGTTTTTAACTAAAAGCGTTACAAATTCATCTGTAAAAACTATCGCTTTCTATTTCTTGCCAACATTTTATGCAAAATCGTTAATGATGTCACAAACGGCATTAATTGCTCTTGTTTTATGAGAAAAATGAAAATTCTAGTTTCACTTTTGAACGCTCTGCACACGAAAAATGCGCGATCCCTGCTAAAAAATGTAACGCGTTACACGCTTAAAATACCTTTTATTTGGGTTTTAAAATTCTACTTTTTGCATAAAAATTATTTAAATGTTACTTTCTTACTAGAATCTGGTAGTTCTATTGAAATTCTATCCATTCATACCAAATTCATCCATATTGCGAGTATATTTTTTTAAAAACACGGATGAGTTTAATAGGTCAGATTCTAAAGTTGTAAAATGTCACCAACATCGCGCGTAACGTCTGAGTAATCAAGCAATATTCAAAATGACCAACATGTACTTTTTACGGTCGACAAATCCTTTCTCTTAGAATATAGAGCGTTTTGATCATTTACTTAAGTAAAATATATTCAGATATTTATATCCTCTACCTTCTATATATCTTGAACAAATATAGGTATATTATCACGGATTAACATATTTTGTGCAGATTTGTTCTAATTTTGCATTAAACTGCATGCCCATGCATGTACATGTACGCATGCTCAATGAACTTTAGCAGGAAAAATTTGTTGACATCGTTAAAGTTCAACAGAAGGAAACAATATAAGTATTTTCCTAGGTTGATGTTCAATCATGAAATGTTGGTAGTAAAGTCTTTGTCGGGGAAATAATTATTACAGGTTAAATAATCATTAAAAAAGATCTTTAAACTCTAAAAAGTTTATTGTACACTTTCATACTGCATTGATGTTTTAAGTTAAGGGGGTTGAATTAGCACCGGAGACATTACTACATGTACACTGTACATCATGCAACAGCCTGATTCAGCGATTTTATAAATGACCGAAATTATGTTGTTTTCAGGAATCCAGAACTCCAGAATCTTCTTTAGTACATGTAGATAAATAATGCATAAAAAATAATGATAAGTTGGAATGCTTTAAAAGTGTTTAAATTAGGTAGCTATTTAATTCATTCTATAAATAAAAGAGAAGTAATTCAGGACAATTTTCACTGCATCGCTATTTAAAAAATACCTTAGTGTAATGTTAAATTTTTCTTGCATGTGCATCATGATGAAACAGCTGGACATTAAATTAAAAAAAATATCTTCAAAAACTTGTTTGTTTGACTTTTTAAAATGAACCGACTAAAATCTTTTTAAATCTTCCAAATTATTAATTCCAGAATTTTCTCATCCTATCAACCGTATTAGAAATGCCTTCAATATTTTTCAACACTGAAAATTTTCGACAAAAAAATATTCGACCTACCTACCGATGCAATTTTTTAACCCGAATAGGGAGAGGGCAAACAAATTTCATTTTAAAACGGCCTTACCCTAACAAAAAAATACTATAGTTAAATATAGTTAACTATAGTTTACTATAGTTTACTATAGTTAACTATAGTAAATCAAAGTGTCAAAGTTTTTTCAAAGTGTCAAAGTTTTTGTCAAAGTTTTTCAAAGTGTCAAAGTTTTCGCCAAAGTTTTTCAAAGTGTCAAAATTTTGTCAAATTTTTTCAAAGTGTCAAAGTTTTCGCCAAAGTTTTTCAAAGTGTCAAAGTTTTCGCCAAAGTTTTTCAAAGTGTCAAAGTTTTCGCCAAAGTTTTTCAAAGTTTTCCATAAAGTTTTTCAAAGTATCAAAGTTTTCGATAAAGTTTTTCAAAGTGTCAAAGTTTTCGTCAAAGTTTTTCAAAGTGTCAAAGTTTTCGCCAAAGTTTTTTAAGGTGTAAAATTTTTCGATAAATTTTTCCAAAGTATCAAAGTTTTCGATAAAGTTTTCCAAAGTGTAAAAGTTTTCGATAAACTTTTTCATAGTTTCAAAGTTTTCAATAAAAATTTTCAAGTGTTAAATTATCCAAGTTTTCGATAAAGTTTTTCAAAGTGTCAAAGTTTTCGATAAAGTTTTTCAAAGTTTCAAAGTTTTTGATTAAGTTTTTCAAAGTATCAAATTTTTCAATAAAATTTTTCAAAGTGTCAAAGTTTTCGATAAATCTTTTAAAGTATCAAAGTTTTTGATAAAGTTTATCAAAGTATCAAAGTTTTCAATAAAGTTTTTCAAAGTGTAAAAGTTTCATAGTTTCAAAGTTTTCGATATAGTTTTTCAAAGTTTTTCAAAGTGTCAAAGTTTTTGCCAAAGTTTTTCAAAGAGTTAAAGTTTTCGCCAAAGTTTTTCAAAGTGTCAAAGTTTTTTTTGCCAAAGTTTTTAGATGTTTTAAAGTTTTTGATAAAGTTTTGAAAGTGTTAAATTATACAAGTTTTGGATATAGTTTTTCAAAGTATCAAATTTTTTTTATAAAGATTTTCACGGTGTCAAAGTTTTCGATAAAGTTTTTCAAAGTGTCAAAGTTTTCGATAAAGTTTTTCAAAGTGTCAAAGTTTTCGCCAAAGTTTTTTTAAAGTGTCAAAGTTTTCGATAAAGTTTTTCAAAGTGTCAAAGTTTTCGCCAAAGTTTTTCAAAGTGTCAAAGTTTTCGCCAAAGTTTTTCAAAGCGTCAAAGTTTTTGCCAAAGTTTTTCAAAGTGTCAAAGTTTTCGCCAAAGTTTTTCAATGTGTCAAAGTTTTTGCCATAGTTTTTCAAAACGTCAAAGTTTTCGTCAAAGTTTTTCAAAGTGTCAAAGTTTTTGTTAAAGTTTTTCAAAGTGTCAAAGTTATCACTATTATAGTAAATCAAAGTTTTCAAAGTGTCAAAGTTATAACTATAGTTAACTATAGTAAACTATAGTTAACTATAGTTAACTTAAGTATTTTTTTGTTAGGGTACGGGAATTTTTCAGCAACCGCTGGAATTAAAAAACACACACTGAATTGTGAAAAGGAAAGATCACACAGACACTTAAAGGAGATTAAATTACATAAGAACCTGTCTTAGCATATAATTAAAACAACATTCCTTTGTTCTGCTGGGAAGAGTTTCTCTCAAGTAGATGTTTTTACGTCGCATTTACCTTGTTGACTTTAGAAGCATCTTTTGACGTTACGTCATAAGAGAGATAAGGGAGGTTTTTGCTTGGGTCGTCACACACACACACACACACACCCTCTCACACACCCTCACACACACACAAACACATATATATATAATTTTATATATATATAGATCCGACATTTAGGATATACAGTGTTGATGGTGTTTAAGTGCTTTAGAAATATATACATGTATATATATATACATGCATATATATATATATATATATATATATATATATATATATATATATATATATATATATATATATATATATATATATATATATATATATATATATATATATATATATATATATATATATATGCATGTATATATATATACATGTATATATTTATAAAGCACTTAAACACCATCAACACTGTATATCCTAAATGTCGGATCTACCAAAGTTGAAAGTTGTTTAAAGTTGATGTCACACAGGTGAAAATAATTATAAAATAAAAAGAAAATGCAGTTTCCAAATTTCATTTAACACAAGCGCTTTCTGGATTTCATAATCCGTCTTCAGGTGTACATATTTGAACTGATTGATTTTATATATATAAAAGAATAATCAGGTTATACTTTAAGTGTTTATGGTGCTTATTAAGTAATTAAGTAAATCATTTGATCAACACCATGCCATGTCATACCATTTACAATAAAACAATGCTTAAGAGACCAATTTGTGTTGTTAGTAACAGAGATCATTCTTGCATATTTAAATGGAACATGTACGAATGATAAATTAATTCATATATTTTGACCAAATAAAATGTTTAGCGTGCTTGAATTTACTTCAACTGAGTAATAAACAACTTAGGATTTAATATAAGGTGTAGAGGCAGCTCACTTTACATAGGCGTCGGAACCGGGGGGCTGGGGGGGGGGGCTCAGCCCCCCCCCCACTTTTTTTCCAAATATATACTTAGTATAGACATTGACCATATCTTCGTTGGTTTAGCCCCCCCCCCCCCCCCGGCTTTCCACAGATACGTCTAAGTATAGGTTAAAATTGGGGAAAATGGTGGTGTATGGAAAAAATTGTGGTACTGAAGTTGGAACCCCCGAAATAGGACTTTTGTGTGTGGTAAAATGGACATTTTCTTTTTTTTTTATTTATTTATTTTTTTTTTTGCTTGTCAGGTTTTTTTAAGGTACAAATTTTTTTTTTTTACACTTAGCCCACCCCCCCCCCCACTTTCAATTTGCTTCCGACGCCAGTGCTTTACTTTGTGAAAATACCATAGAATCAATGGTAAAATTGTAGGTTCCCAATGAAATCAAGGGATTTGATTATAACTTGTGTGTATTCATAAAAATTCATTCTCCAAACCTGATTATTTAATTATCTAGCTTAAAAAGTAGAAACATTACTCAGTATATTTATTTCTTTTCTAAATACTGTTTATCCTTTATTTGATCATCTTTTAGCGTTCTGAAAAAAAAAAATTTTTGTTCAGTATGATAAGAGAGGCAAAAACAAAATTAATATATGCAGACTGTTTATGCAATATCGAATTGCATGACCGCACCTTCGGGTATTTAACACTTGACGATAGGTATAGCAAACCGAAAGTAGAAATCTTCAAGATTTGCAACAAGTTTCCTCGTACACTTGAACTATAAAGGTAAAAGTCTGTTAGTATTGGACATTTATATATTTTGAGTTAAAAAATGTTATTTCAGAGCCTTTAGTATAAAGGGAGCACTAGTATCCTTTTCTTACTGATAATTAACATTGATGAAAACAATCATGAATTTTTAGTTTCGTTTTTTCAACAGGGTAGCCTTCATATAATGTCTTGTATTATTAAACCTATAAAAATATGATTAATATAGAGAGAATGTGAGTAAAAAAGTTCTTTAAATCAAAAAAAATAACTACTATGGAAATGCCATTCTTTAAAAAAAATGATAAAAGATTGTAAGTTGTTTTTGTTGGCTTTATTCACGTATTGCATACAATTAGAAATATATTGAAGGAATGAAGAAGTGTAACATATTCACCTGACTTGTAAGTCACGCCCGTTTACCCTCAGATGACTAACATTTTAGTCAATATTGGATTCATTAATACTGTTCATCGATATTGCTCATGATGCATATTTTTGTAAGAATTCCAATATCTGTAATTGGTACTGATTTACATCACATAGTTCAATGATTCGTTGACGACTTTTGTATGGTGAATAAAATGAAAAGATTCGAATTCCACAAAAACAGGCATATTTTCTGGTCAAAGCCACTATATCGTAGAGGTTTAACAATATTTGATATACTTAGTAAATCATTCGGTTATTTAGGAAATAACTACGGCTCGCCAAATTCACTAAAAAACACAATTTCACAGTTGATTAACTAGGTTTCTAGACTGTAAACTATAGTTTACAAACCGTGAACTATAGTGAACAATTCGCTAAATTTTGTTTCCATCTGTAAAACTATTTTAACTGAGTTTATTTATCTGTAATAAAACGTTAACAATAGATTTTGTTGATAAATATACATTCACGTCTGTAAACTATAATTTACAAATCGTGAACAATAGTTAAGAGTTGTTTATCATAGTTTCTCAATTCGTGAAACTATATTTATCAGATTGTTTACTATAGTTAAGAGTTGTAAACCAAAGCTTACAAATTGTGAAACTGTTTAATAGTTATCAGATAATCTATGTTTTGTAATCGCAACTGATTGTTTTTCAGTGTTAAGTACAGTTAACGGTTCTGAAACATAGATTATCGCATTACAAACTATAGTTAACAACCGATAAACCTAGTTTATCGACTGAAACTTTGTTTAGCTCATTTTTGTGAATTTGGCGTGCCAAAAATAAAACAAAAATTGCCTTTCTAGTCTGAAATCTAAATTACGCCCATAAAGTTCCTATCCATACCCGGTATACAAAATAGAGAAAACATAAATTTTACAATATAATGAACTTTGTTCACGTAAAGATGAGCAAACGTTCTACATCAGTGACAAGTCTTTACGAAGTAATCATTGGTTGAAATTTGATTTAATAGGTTAATTGTCCCTCCCTAGCTGTTTCCCTGAATACAAATATTTTCATATATTTCAAATTCGTGACATTCTACCGACTTCCCGTTCAAATCAAAGCTTTGAACATATCTGGCGGAAGTTGTACATGTACCTTGCACTGTTTCGTCCGGTGACGAATGGCACGAGCTAAATTCGGAATCAAAGTTACATTCAAATTCCTTCCTTTGACCAGATCTTCTGTCTCTCCTCACCATGATGATTATTACCAACACAAATATTAAAATGAAAGTAAAAGTAAGAGATCCTCCAATAATAATTATTGTTTTAATTTTTTCCATGAAAGTACGTGAACTTTCCTGTGAAGTTTCATTCCACACAGAGATAGTATCTTGGATTTCTGAAAGAGACATATTTAAAACTAAACATGACTCGTTATTAGGTATAAACTATATTTGATAATACAGTCTACGATATCAGCACCGGAGTATCTGCTTTCGCATTTAATTTTTACATCTAACTGCTTTTGGCATGGAATGGCGACCCACGGTTCGACTCGTTTTCTTGGATTACCTTTGTTTACATTTTATTATAGTCTCATAAGTGTATTCTTGTTTGTTTGTATAGGGCTGTCATATTGGGATTTTTTAATTTTACGCATGGTGGTAAATACAAAAATTACAAAATTTTTGAATTTACTACCACTCGATTAACTCGAAAATTACAGTGTGACACTGCACTAAACCGTGTAACTGTTGAAGGTTTCTTTGAAAAGTAGAAAACACTTGCTGTGGCCTTCAACTCGACATTTAGCTATATCGTAGACATATTGTCCATTAAGAATGGTAATTTCCATGTTGATATGATATATTCTTGTGAGCTTGAGATAAAAGATACCACAGAGTCTAACACATCTGTTTCATATTTGGCTGTTTTACTTGCAAAAGACGTTACAGACAATCTAACAAGCAAGCTCTATGATAAACGTGATGACTTTAACTTTTCTATACCTTACTAGTGCAGCAATATACTTCATCACCTTCATACGGAGTTTATATATCTCAGTCGATTCGATACGCAATAAAGCATGTTCTAAGTATGAACAATTTCTAAAACGAGGCTAATTATTGACAAACAAGTTGATGAAACAAGAATATTAGCATCATTTCGTAAGTTCTATGGTCGATAGAATGACCTTGTCAGCAAATGCAATTTACCATTGAGTCACTGACTGACGTTTTTCATACTAATTGTTAGTCCATTATTTGTACACTGAATTGACGACGGATTTTTTCCGTTATTTCCCGATCATGACAAGGAGCACACGGCGGATGTGACTGGTCGGCAAGGGATGCTCACTCCTCCGTGGCACCTGATCCTTCCTCTGATGTTTTGGATTTTCGTGTTTGCTCTGCTCCTTTTATCTATTGTTTATGGACTTTTGAGTGATTGATTATATTGTTTAACGTCCCTCTCGAGAATTTTTCACTGATATGGAGACGTTACCGTATGCCGGTGAAGGGCTTCAAATTTTGACCGTTACTCGACACTCAGGGCCATTGAGCAGTTGGGGATCTTTATCGTGCCAACGCCTGCCGCTGACACGGGGCCTCGGTTTTTAAGGTCTCATCCGAAGGACCCGCAACTTTGACTTCAAAGTGCCGAGTGCATGGCGAAGGAACAGTTGCTACCCATTTTAACGACTAGGTCAGTCGCAGCCGAGATACGAACTCACGACCTCCCGATCACGGAGCGAGCGCTCTACCGACTGAACTACCGTGAACGGTATATGGACTTTTGATCAATGAATACTATTCGTTATCTCCATGTGTTTCATTTGGTATCTTTCTCTCCTGCCGATGAAGAAGTAAACGGATATTTTTGTCTCTACCGAATATTGTGTGCATGGGTCCGTCTACCTCGGTAAACTGATTCCATAGAACATTGACTAAGCGAGCGGCTTTATATAAACGCCCTGAATATGGGGAGTGAATAATCGAATATGGCGTAAAAACCTTTTTGCGAAAAGTGTTCAACTAAATTTGCTTTGATAACATTTTTGATTATACTAGTACTGATTTTTATTCGGTAAAATTGTATACCTGTGCCTAATAGACACCCGGTAATATGATGACAATCTTTCTTGGCACAGTTACACTCATATTGACATCTCTCTCCGAAGCTAGGAAATCTACAGGGATCTGAGCAGGCCACGCCATAATATCCAAAACTGCAATCTATGAATATTGATGGAATATTATTCATATCAAATATTAGACCTGAGTCATATACGGAAGCAAGTGCATACAATGGGTTGTTTAATTGAAAGATAAATTGCAAACTTAACAAAAAAATGTATATTTCATGAGGGAATCTCAAAAGAATTGACCTTTGATAAGGAAAAAGCAATTCCTCTGAAATAGTCACATTTCATATCAATATTCATTTGTCATTTGCTACAATTATATGTCTGAATTTATCAAATTGGCATTTTTCAAGCAATCTTTTTATTTTTTTTAATTAAAAAAAAAATATTATTATTATTATTCTACTTTTATATAGCGCCCTATATAATTATGGAATTACCCTAAAGCGCTTTATACGTAGAAAACAATTACAGTATAAAACAAAGGACGGTACAATATAAAAAAGCAAAAAGGTAAAATAATAGGGCATTTTTTTTTATTTAAATAAAATAAAACCAACTGGATGCTCCATTGTGACTAGAGCCTCATAAACTAAAGGCGAGTCTAAAAAGATGTGTTTTTAGATTTCTTTTAAAAACGTCAAGTGACTGTATTATCCCATCATATATTAAAGTACAATGCTTAGTGCCAGGGTTGGGGCACTGAATTCACTATGCTTACAAGATTACAACACAAGCTTATCTTATGATTTTTTAACCCATTCACTCATCATCCACTACAAAGGCATGCATATGCCCATATCAGTAGCTAACAAAGATATTGTCAATAGAAAAAATACAAATCTGAAAACTGCAAATCTGTAGTTAATAGCATTTATACAACTAAATCTACACACATAATGGTTAATATTTACGTTAAACCTTTACGATTTCTGCCCATTGTAAGCTATGATTAGACCACCTAGTCTTGTTGACGAACTTACTCCTAGATTTTTAACCGGGCTTTCTGAAAGCAAAGTACTGGATATAGGCATCATAATCGACTGTCTTACTATAAATAGCATAGTAAATAAAAAACCAAACAGAGAATCAAAATAGTTCCATTTAGAGAGGATATTCAAACAAATAGTTTTCACATCCCAATCGTTGGAAAAGTTAATTATCAATATTTTTGCTTGAGAATTTAACTGAAACAGAAATGAGATACACGTGTATTTGTTTTAATGGGATAATCGTAATACAACAATTTGTGCACAGACGCTTCTGAATGCATATTGTATGTGATCTATTTTCAATGGCGCGGGCTTTTCGAAATGTTGAAATTGTTGAAGAGTTTCGTGTTTTATATCGTTTTCGTCGATGTTATGTTAATGGTTATATTCTGTTCTGCTTTTTAGCAAATTAATAGCATAATAAATTGGAATTTTACGAATTAACATGTGTGAAGTGGCTTGACAATGCATATGTATCATTCCTTGTTTCTACATGTAGTTGGCGAAAAGTAATGTTTGTTTGAAACTAAAAGACTATCTATAAAATACACATGTGCACTTTTTACCTGTTCTTAGACTGAATTTTTAAATTATGAGAAAATAATGCTTATTGAATTGAAAATATGCGAGAATTTCTAGGAAATATTGATTATTAAATTTTAAAATCATAACATATCTTGGGGTCTGGACTGTTAATTTTAATTACTGGTATATGAGATATTGTTTTGAATCAATATCATAAAACTCTTCCTGTTGAAAATCAATGGCCAAAATGGGAAAAAATTAAATACAGTGTATGTACTTATTTCGGATCAGACAATATACTTGAGCAATTAAAGAGGGCTTTCGGTTCTTTCAATACTTTCATTTCTTTATGTCCACATGTCTTAACACTGTCTTAATCTTAATTTTTTTTTTACCATACATTTAGGGAATAACTATTTTCTAATTTGGCATTTGCGACCGTGAATGCTGATTTAACGGTTGCAAACTGAGTTTTACCAGCGACGAGCAGGCGGAGCCGGTAAAATGGATGTTTGCGACCGTTAATCAGCATTAATGGTCGTAAATACCAAAATAGAATATAGTTATTCCCATTCTAATGCAATTTATGCATTCTGTTTGTTATTTACATCCTATTTTATTGAGTTTTTTAGACATGAAATACGTCACCGGGCATTGTGTTTTTGCGTGGCTCTATTATGTCGTCACAATGAAAAGCTTTCACTCTCGTTAATGCTAGTTCATGGTCTCAAGCCACGGTCCGGAGTCCGCATCATGGGAGAGGAGCGTATATTTTGGCCGTGGTTTGCGACGATGATGCCAGTTTTACTGATTCAAACATCAGTACATTAGTCAATCAGAATGTGTTTTACAAAATAATCGCATTAGAATACTAGATTTGAGGTACATTTCCACAACTTTACACCTTTTAAGACTTACATTCTTGCCTTCTTTGCTTTTTTTCTTTCTACCAAACCTTGAAGTCGACCGCATTGAGAAACATCAAAGCTTATTTCGGGTCAAAAATTACTTGAAGGAAAATCTCAATCATTAATAATAGTTTTTGATAGATTACTACCTTATTATTGGTCAACTGTTTTAAAATTCGAACATGGGATTTTAAATGTTTTGATTATAACTTTTAAGCTTTTTTAAATACTATTGGACTTCAATTAATCGAGCGTCATTTTATTATTGCAAAAAGAATTAAAAATATAAAAAAAAAATGACAAGGTTCTTGAAAATGATTGTTTATTTCTAACAAAATTAGAAAATAATATGAATTATTTGAATGCAAATCAAAACTTAGAAATATGGGGGTAATTACACTGTCAAGATTTTATCAATATGTCTCAGGAATTAATTCTTATTTCGTACTGCAGAGGATTTCAGTATGTATTACGTAATCATTATGTATACAGACCTGAACTATTTCGACATCCACTGGCAAAGTCACAAAATTCCTGGGTGCAATTGCATTGTTGTTGACATCTTTTCCCATAGCTCGGGTATCTGCAGGCACTTTCACAATGCAGGCCGAAAAAACCTATTTCACAACCTAATAAAAACTCTTTTAATTGCAATTATTTATGCTTTGAACTGAAATGTTTTTTTCATGATTTATCAAGCAAATAAAAATAATAGTAAAATAAATTACCTGCAGTACACATATTTAAATCATAATTCCAAGAGAAACCGGGGGACAGCATTTCACATCGTTACTATAAAATTTGAAGAAGTAGCATACATTGTATAAACGTAACAGTATGGTACGTAAAAATTATTCTTCTATTTAATTATTATTAGAGACAATGTCAAATTATAGCTACCTTGGACATGTTGAATCCACAATTGTTATAGCATTGTATAAAACCACAAGAAAAAAGTTTTTACCCTCCATGTTTTTTTTTATTTGAATTATGACAAGGAAGAGTTATATTATATAGCTTTGACAATCTATTTTTACTGATTTCCTGCATCCTGCGTAATTTTAACAAAAGTTGTTTTAATGAATATTCTAATACATTAACATATAGCTGTTTTTAAAAATGAGAAGAACGTGTTTCCTTCACATAATTCCAAGTAATAGCTTCGGGCGGTATATTTCTAGATGAATACTTTATGACAATAGGTATATCTGCCCTTAGTGAGGCTGAGAAGTCGCACATAAAATGGAACTTTGCCATTCAGTTAGCTGAAATTTGACCGAAATTCTACTGAATTGTGATTAAATTGTAGAGATCTGCCATTCAGTGAATTTTCAGTCACGGTTCAGTTGACTGAATAGTTCAAGTTCAAGTTCATCCTGTGTGTTGATTTTTTTCTTTTACAGAATTTGAAAATAATTTTTGCATTATCTTTTCAAGTTTTAATTTGTCTCTCGCGTGGCACAGTGGTAACAGCATCTGGACCGGCTCTTCATTTGATGAGAAATATAATGACCGTATTATATAAACTCTTCCGTGTCGCAGTATAGGTGCTGACACAAAAGTATTCCTCACTGCTCAATGGCAGTAAGTGCCGATTATAGGACAAAATTTGCAGCTCTCCACCCTCATATGGTTGCATCTCCTTAGAGTGAAAAGTTTTCGAGAAAATGTTAAAACACACAAACAACTTTTAATTTATTGTCTAAGCTAAATAAAAAATCACTAATTATCGATTGAAATTAATACATACCAGTGTGAACTATTCATTACTGAAATTTCTTAAACGAAGCAATGTTTGAACACAAATTATTATTCACATTATTCAATATTTTTTCTAAGGTCCTGTTTCGTTCATTATCTTTATTTTCAGCGAGTCTCCATTGCTTTCAAATGTACCACAAACTTGAATTACGCACTTGATGATAGCATTTAAGCTATATATATATTTGAAATTAATTAACATTTTTTATCAGTGTTTCTTATTCGTGTAACTCATTAGAAATTTTAAAACTTATATTTCAGTGGAGTATTAATTGAGCAATTCTAGTGAGTTTTTATTTCATCTCAGTGTAAAATTGTACTAAACAATTCTGATAAATTTTTGATTAAATATAAAATGCTTATGAAATAGATAAAACGCTTATAGTCATATATGCATTAAAATTATTTTTTAAGAGCCTAATTGAATGCTAGCATTTATTTAATTTTTACTAAATATGCCATCCTGGATAAATGAAGACTGTATTGATAATAATAAAAATAATAATAATATTAATAATGATTAATATATATTTAATAATTAATGATTAATAATATTATTTTCTAGCTAAATCATATCTTAAAACATGGGAAGAGGAAAGGAAAAATACACCTGCTTACATTTCTTAGTTGTACTCATTCGGGTAAGGCCGTGTATTGTACACTAACTACAGTGATCTCCTGCCTGAAGTAGTAATAAAAATACAAACAACAAATAATTAATCACTTTTGTGCCTCTGAAAATTTGTTTTCAAAATGCAGTCCTAACGTGACGCTTTATAATTAAAACTTTTAACTAAGCGTGAGAGAGAGAGAGAGAGAGAGAGAGAGAGAGAGAGAGAGAGAGAGGAGAGATTTTATTTAGATAATGTTTAATTATAAATATTCATAAAGATAGGACTGGACTACGGCAGTGCCTCTTTATAATACAAGGGTCAAAGTCATACTTGTATAATTTATAACAATAATAACAAAATGTATAATTTTGAACAAGTAAACATTAATTACATAAGAGTGTGAAAGTTTATGTGTATAAAATATTTTATATAGATACATGTATACTCACCATTTGAATAGACAAGACGCATATTATGATGATTTTTTTTATTTTACCTTTTCTAAAATTACCATCCTTTCTCCAATTCAATGAATAAGAAATCTATATATATATAAATTTCCAATGTGTTGCCACCTGCTTGTTGTTTAATGCTTGAAGTAATGATAATTTATTAAATTTTAAGTGGCAAAAAATTTTAAATTAGCTTCAAAACACTTTTGGAATTGAAGGAAAACAAATTTGGTTAGCTGGAATATGTATGGAAATAACGAATAGATTTTAAGCTCAAAATTCCATTTAATAATACAAATGTTGGAGCGAAACAAACACGAACCTCTAAAATATCAGAGGTAGAATCTGGTGCCATTGAGGATTTAGCATCTCCTGTCGACCAGTAACACCCGCCGTGTACTCTTTGTCATGATAAATAAAATAACGGAATCTCAATCTATAATTTCAGATCTTTAATACCGTTTTAAGCTGTCCTGTATCGGTACCGACTATATCGTACGTATCTTATTGTCCGAAAAGTCAAGAAGAGTGGGAAAATGCCGCTGAAAGGAAGAATTGTGAGAGCATTGCTGTAATTCAGAACTGCACTGATCGGAGTAGATTTCAATATCATTGTTTGATGAATCACTGGAAAAACGCAACATTAGAAGTTTGTACACCTATTTTCTACTTACAAGGTATGTCTTTACAAATCTAATATTATGTTTTATTTAAGGAATGTTTATAAGTTTTGTGTGAGTTATTGCAATTGGTGTGTGAATCACACAGACTTTTCACGTAGGCATATTTCACGAAGCGCCCTAGCGCTTCGTGAAAAATATGCCTACGTGCAGGTGTATGTGATTCACACACCAATAATTCACACTAACCTTGAAAATATTCCTTATATTAACATTTTACGTGTTTGGAAGCACCAAAAATATACTCAATATTTGAATTTATAGCTGTCCTATATCATTGTACTTTTACTAATGTAGCTGTAGCCTTATTGTGACGTCGCTGTAGCCTTATTGTGACGTCAGGTTATCTCACGTTTTCCGTATATATTTCTACGCGTGAGTATACACGAAATGGTTTTAAAATCAATTTCAAAGTTGGCTTAGTAGAAAAACACAGTGAATGTAAATATATGCTTTTATAAGTATATGTATAAATGTAAAGAGGTCAATATGAAAGAGTGAAGACAAAATAGGCTTTTATAGTTAAGATAATTCATTAAACTAAATGCAATTTTTAGGATATTGTGCAGAATACAACATACAAATGAAACAAGTGGCAGAAATTTACGACGAAGGATTCGAATGTCTGAAGTTTAATGGAACACACAAATGTCCACGAAGATATCCGTCCAACGAGGCCTATAAATGTAATGTCAAGTACATTTGTTAGACGTGTATCTAAATATGGAGGACTATCAATACAGCATATGAACATTCATTTCAATTTTTTTTTCTTTAGATCAACGATGCTATAGATACAATAATATATCTATGAGTACCGAGAAATTAAGGTAAACAATTAATCGGACTTGAACTTGTGTGATATAATTGATGTACATACATATGCATATGTGTTATAGAAGGCCGTGTAAGTAATATTAATTTACTTTATTCCAAAGTCTAATGAGAAAGAGAGAGTGAGAGAGGTAGTATTTTTTTTTATTACAGTTTAAAAAACAAAGACAACAGTTGGATAGCTCTTGTGTTTATTGTCATCGTATCACTCCTATTTGGAATCCTTGCCTTCGTGCTTGTGATGATGAGAAAGGGAAAATGTCATAAACTCAACAAAGGTAAACAAAAAGTGGAACAATCTAGTTTATTAAAAATAAAAAGATGTTGGTTTTCAAAAGACACTGAGGGCGGCCTGTATGTGGCTAAAATGGTGGCAAATTTGATCATAAACTTCTTCAATAGCCAAGGGTCAATATTCTTCTCTGGTCATAACCTAAGTAAAGTTTAAAACTGTTGACAGTAAAAGAGACACAAGCAAAAGAGATACAAAATAATATTAATAAAATTTTTTCTCCTGGTGTCAACAGACCAATAAGAATTCGGAACAGTAAAAACTAACTAAATATTTCCGGAATGGCATATTTAATTTTATGTTTGTAAAAGGATTGGAAATTTTCTCAACATATATTTGTGTATTTACGGTGAAACATAATGCACTCGAAAATCATTTAACTGAAGGTTAACAAAGATATAAAACTGATTTTGGAAAATATTAAACTTTTGGAATTTAAATAAATAAACAAAAAAAAAACAACACAGAAAACCAATTACTAATACATTGATCATAAAAAAAATATTATTTTTGAGGTATATATCAAGTTTGTTTCACTTAATTCTAACCATAATCTAATAGAAATATGCTTAAGCTGCGTTTATCTTTTTTTAATAGACCATTGTTTAAAAGTATTGCTTAAAACAGAGAATAGCTTCACTTGGTGCATGAAAAACTCTCTGTGAAACAGTAATTAAGGCAATAATAGTCATAATGAAAAATATTCATTTTCAGGAAATATTGATTCAAGTGAGTTTATGCCATGACATTTTAAGGATATAGTGGGGTCACAATGGGGGCGTAAAATATTCCTATTTGTTAAAATTGGAATTAGGCGAAAGATTGAACGCTTTAACCACTACACTACGAAGTCTATGCATATTCGTTGTGTGTACATGTAACTACAATGAATGAGTTTATTGAAGCTTATTTTTTCCTAGAAAAGTTTGATTTTCACAAAGAATGGGTTCAGTCTCCATTTGGATTTGTAGAAAAATGTACCATGTAAACAGGTACATATTGAAACTCATTTATTCATTTCAACATAGGGTACCTGCCTTAATTCTGCAGGAATTAGGTTCGAAGACATTGGACTATGTGTGAACAGAAACAATGTTGCTTACTAACATTGGAAAATTTAATGGAAATAATGAACCTAGTGGCTTATTTTTTGTCTTATATAATGCTTAGCATATTTTAGTCTATTACAACTTGTGTATTAACTGTCAATAACATTTTTTCTATCTCACTTCTAAAAGCAGATCATTCTAACAGCATAAAACTGCCATACAATTAGAACATTTCAGTATGCAGTGTTTATAGAGCTTCCTAAGTACTTTTTCCATTATTTAAATGTAAATGAAGAATTGAGACTTTTACACACTCATGTTAAAAATCATTGTAAAGGCTTTAATATTCCCGTTTTCCAATAAATATACTTATAACCATCGACGTCAACTTTAAGGAGGCTGACGGGTCAACAAATAAACCACAAATTAACGACCAGATTTAACTTATCTTTTTAGATACGGTATCCTAAGCTGTCAACTATCATTTGGCGAAGAATAAAATTATACATTTTACATGTAGTTTTAAAATTTGACCATTTTTGTTTATCTTTATATGGAGCTCCTCTTTTAAAGGAGATCGAAATAGTCTGAAAATGGCTGCCAACCCTAAGCCTCTTTAAAATAAGATTATCAATTAACAACTAGTTCAATAAAATAAATGAATCAATCTATTTATAAAGACATAAATAAAAACAAACTTATAGTAAAATAAACTTGTACGTGAACTTTAAAAATTGAGAAGAATATTATCTCTGAGCGGGGGTTGGATACCCTCACACTGTAAGTCATCTTTCTTTATGTAACAATTATCTAGATTTCTGAGTTGCAGTAAAATATTTGGAGATAATGAACAATATTCAAGTTTAAAACTCTATTAAACAATACAAAATAGAAACAGAGCAAACATGGACCTCCAAATCATCAGAAGTGATATCAAATGTCATGGATGATTGAGCATCCCCTGCTGATCGGTCCCTGTGAGCCCCTTGTCATGATCGGGAAATAATGGGAAAATCCGTCGTCAAATCAATGTATAACAGTGGACTAAATAGTATGAAAAACGTCAGTAAGCGCTTTACAGTCAGGTCGGTTTTGAAAATTTTTAATATCCAAAAGAACCAAAATGATTTTGAACTACTGTACTGGATTCCGAAACTTCATAAGAATGCTTACAAAATACAAATAAAGCGTGAGCACCCTCCACCGATCGGCCACACCTGCCGTGCGCTCCCTGCCACGATCGAGAAACAACGAGGAAATCTGTTGTCAATTCAGCGAATACACAATGAACCAACAATCAGCTAGAAAAACGCCAGCCAGTACCCGACTCAATGATAAATTATACTTGCTGACAAGGTTACTGTATTAACCAGAGAACTTACAAAAATTATCACTATTATAAAAGAGACTGCTGTTATTCTTGTCTCATCAACTTGTATGTCAATAATTTACCTCGTTTTAGAAACTGTTCATACGTAGATAATGCTCTTGCGCACCGAACCAACTGAGATACATAAACTTCGTTTGCAGGACCGCTGCATAATCTAGGGAAGTTGACGAAAGAAAAGTTAGAGTCATCACCTTTATCACATAGTCTGGCTGCCATATAGCATGGTTGTTAGATTACCATTAACGTCTTTCTCAAGTAAAATATCATATACAAAGATGCATTAAAAGTTCCATTAAATATTCCACCAGGCCTCTTTCTTTGCACCTCACAAAGATATTAACAGTACTGAGGGATCCGGAGAAACTTCGAGAGTACTTTGCAACAATATATTCAAGAAGTGGTGCCATTGTTTCGACCATAGAGCCTACCAAATTATGACTTTCATCGAGACTGCTGTTATTTTTGTTTCATTAATTTGTCAGTCGATAATTTACGTCGTTTTAGCAATTGTACATATTTAAAGCATGCTCTTGCACATAAAATCAACTGAGAATTATAAACTCAGTATGCAGGTGATGAAGGTATAATGCTGCATAAGTAAGAGACGTTGACGATTGAAATTTAAAGTTAATTATCACGTTTATCATAGAGCATGGTTGTTAAATTACTACATTTATGTTCTAATTCACCAGTTCAACCGAACATAAATTATTTATAAATTCAAAATTCCAACACATGTTTAGGAACGGCATCGCCTGCGTCTGTGCAACAGACATTTATTACACATAAATGTTACAAATAATATTCTTCTTTGAAACAACATTCTACAAAATAAAAAACGAAAATATTAAATCATATCAGATATATAAAGTAGGGTGGGTGGGCGGGGACTTGTTGCTCTAAGCGCAGCGAAACCTCGAATAACCTCTAATTCTTAATACCTGGACACAGGTAAACTACCTGTTCCGCACGATTTCATTTGAACTCATATCAATCGTTAAAATCCAATCAAATCTTAGATACTATAAATACTTCCTAAACACGTAAACAAACAACACCACGTGTTTCCGATACCAATTATAAATATATGTATTAATGTCTTTTTCAATGAAAATATAAAAATATGAAACAGATGTGTCAGAAGCTGTGGTATCTTTCATCTCAAGCTCACTAGGAATATATTGTATCGAAATTAAAATGGAAATAACAATTGTTAACTGCCAGCACATCGTCGGAAATTTTAGTGAGACGCAAATGTACCGATTTGTCCTGAAAAACTGGTAATTTATTTTATTATTAGATGTTATTTTAGCGATTTTTAAATGCACGTTAAAGAAGTTATAACAAATAAAATGCAATTAATTTTTAGCGATATTCTATTTTAGCGATCTCTTCACCCTCGCTAATAATTCCAAAATTAAATCCTCGCCAAAAATTCTACTTATACGGTATCTAAATGTCAATTTGAGGGTCATAACAGGTTATTTTCTTCCTTTCATGTATAAGATTTTAGACAAATTCTGTTTCATTTGAAAACAAAAACTTTTCTGCTAACGCAATTAATTGGTACCAATGGGAAATCCAAAAGATTGTTGGAAGACTTGGTCTATCTAAGAAGAACAAAAAATTTTGTTATACCCTTATAAATATCCTTCTATATATTTATTACTAATAAAAAGTCCAACAAAAGAAATGATTATTACATCGGTCTAACAATTTCACTATTGACCGGTCTTACATAAGAATTGTTAGACCGCAACGTCACTCGTCTGTTACGTCACAATTAATAATCATCGTTCAATATCGGCGACGCGAAAATAGCCGAAGTTAAGAGCTATTAAGAGTTGTTGCTAACAGCAAAGTAAGGTAGAAGGGAAGAGTATGTTTTGTGATAAATAATTTTTGTGATATAATAGATTTATAATTGATTTTGTTCTTTCTCAGCTTGATGTTTTATATTTACTGAAGAAGCCATAATTTTCCATATAAAATAATTGATAGTATAGCGTGTATTGATAAAATTGATCAATCTTAAGTGAGCAGTGAAGGGTATAACAAAACAGTTATAGACTGGGATTCGGGCAACATATGATTTGTTGGACCTGAAGATGAAAATGTTGCCCTTGGCCTGCGGCCTCGGGCAACATTTTCACCTTCTGGTCCAACAAATCATATGTTGCCCTCATACCCAGTCAATAACTGTATAATATTAATTAGTGTTATGAATTGACAAACGTACATTGTATAAACATACTTTTATAATAATTGTCTCTTCATTTAAGCAGATGACACTGAAGAAGGACAAAACCTCCTACATGTACAGCGGTCGGAAATGCCAAAGGAAAACATTTCAGAGGCTGACAATTTTTCTCCTGGGTGTCAACAGCCTAACCTCCAACATGTACAGCGGTCGGAAATGCCAAAGGAAAACATTTCAGAGGCTCACAATTTTTCTCCTGGGTGTCAACAGCCTAATGTGGAATCGGAACAGAATAGATTTGGTAAGTCACTATATTTCCGGAAAGAAATATTTAATTTCATGATTTTAAAAGGGTTGGATATTCTATATTATATTATTTTTAAGAATTGTCTACGGATTTTTTCTGTTTTTTTTTTTACATGGCAAGGAGTACACAGTGGGTTTGATAATATGTTTGTAAAAATTCTAATGTGGAAAGGACAATATAGGGTAACGTCCAAATCTGGCCCCTTATTTGATGTATGAATCAAAACACTCAATCAAAATTGTAATAGTTTGTTATTAAGAACTTAAAATGATGCTTGTTTTAAAACCAGCACAAATTTGCACAAGGAAAATTTGAAAAGAGAGATTGATGAACAGACTGGTAAAAATTTCCCCCCCCCCATGATCGTGGATTCAATAAGGCCAAGGTTATGTAATTTAAAATGATAGTAAGACTGAATCAATGATTAAAATGATTAAGGCATACTTTCATGCCGAAGATTTCGACGTTTTCTATGTTTTTTATATGAGCAATTTATGTAAATAAATCTGAATACTATTTCATAACGATTTCCCTACCTTTTCAATGTTTGTTTAATACATTTTACTTTTATTTGAAAAAACAAGAGTCATTCATATTTCATTGAGTTAAAAAAATCTTTAAATGATACAGAATTCCCTTAGATAAATCTTATATCAAATATTTGGGGCAATATATTTTAGCGTGTACACAGGCAACTTAGCCACATATGATTCTCATATGAGTATCATATGATTCTCATATGATTGGTTTCATATGAGAATCATAGAAAAAGGGCATCATATGTGAATCATATGAAGCAAATCATATGATTCACATATGATCCACATATGTGAATCATATGAAAATAATTACATATGATTTGCATATGAATGATTTAATTGTGTTTCGAGCCATTTACATATGAGAATCATATGAAAAGGGTATCATATGTAAATCATATGAAACAGCTATGTGTATATTCTTTCAATATTTTTCACATTATTGTACACATTTAAAAATCAGATATTTCTGCTTTAGATGAAAATTCATTACATTACAATGATCTTTCTTCATTGGTTAAATATTTTAAAATATCTTATAATGCTTACAAAACTTTTTTGATAAATTAATCATAAAATTATTTTCATCAAGAGAAATAAATTATTTTTCACAGTGTACATTCTAAACAAGAAAATATACAAACAAGTCAGTAGCATTTGTCGATACATGTATTTAACATATTCTAAAATGAGTTCAAATTATAAGATTTCAGCAAAATGATTAAGTAGTTAAACATGTATACATTTACAAATGAATAAAATAATTAGGTCATATACTTGTATAAAAATAGCAAATGACATAAAAAGTGTCCACAGCAAAATTGAAATATCAGCAATAACATTTGCCATGTATTCTCTATTGTAAATTTATGAAAAATCAAGTTATTTGATATTCTAGCATACAGATAAGAATAGGAAATCTTTACAGGTCAAATTCAGACAAGATTGTGTACATCCTCCACATTTCATAATTATTCCACATATTTCCAGGTTCTTTTTCCTTCTGTATCTTTTCAATATTTTCAGTTGTCCACCCTCTGATCTGACCATTTTGAAAATCTCCTTGAACTGTACCAAAAATGCAAATCCACCAGTTCTCCCCTTCCTGAACAATTTCTTTGTTTTTTCTTTGTTTCTTTGTGGCTAAGAATGGTCTCTACAAAAATTTCAAAAATGATAATAAAATAATTCTTAAATTACAAAATCAATTCTACAAGTTATATTAAAGTAACTTATCAGCAGCAAACAAATGTATCCCCAATTCACCGACACAGATATAATACAAGATACTAATGTTATATATGTTATACTAGGTGTTTTGTCAAATCCTATGAGGTAATTTGCAAGACACTGTTGGAATATATGCTTCATAATAAAATTATAAAAAGCATTTTTTTATAATGACAATTGAATTGAATTTTGCAAGACAATTACACTATTGGAAGATATGCTTCATATTAAAATCATAAAAAGCAATTTTTTTTGTCAATTGAATTTGGAATGTTCAAATAGTATTATTGCAAAAAATTAAGTAGATTCTGACACAAATATATAACTTTTGGACAAAAAATTACAGACAAGTAGATATGCAGAAAAACAGAGTTTGTGATTCCAGGATATCCGAAGCTTTGTTGGGAAGAATATAACAAAGTCTGTTAAACAGTGTGTAGTTACCTTAACTTTGAAACAAGCCTAGGATCTTTGGATTTTTTCTTGTGAGAGGCTGACTGTATATTGAACCTGTAAAACCAATATTAACACAGTAGATATTTTCTAAGCATAATTAAAACTTAAACTACTAAAAAGAGAAGAGTATACAAGCTTGTAGGTTCTCAAAAGTCTTAAATATCTTACATTTTACCTGAAACTAGCTTCTCTATTAGTATTGGAATTTTTTTTTTTAATAAATGTCAGTCAATTGAATACATAGATGTAAATATTCAATGGATTAATTACTTTAGCTATCTGATGTACTTTCAACAGAAACACATGCATATGTGTGTACCTTGAAAGTTGCCACTGTTATTATTAATTTTTGCTGAAATTCAAAAATTCAATTCACCCCCTGAAGTTATTGTATAGTTTCACAGCTTTTAAAGCCAGCATATTCTATTCATACTTACCATAATTTAAAAGTGCATTGGATTAAAATTGTTTCATAATGTAGAATACAACTTGTATATCATTGAGTTGAATTTAATTATTTTTGATAAAGCCATGCAAACAATGTAGAATTAAAAAGGAACAAAAAGAAATTATCAAGAAATATTTTGTCATTAAGGAGTCATTACAGATATTCACTTTGGTTTTTTATTGCAAGTATTTCTTTTTACCTTTAATATTGTGATGATGCAATCTTCTGTCACAATCACCTTTTAGATCAATCGCCAGTCTTATCAGCTTTGGGCTTCTTGGACTTAATAAAAAAGCAGCACGGTGACACTAAACTCAAGTTGTTGAATGCATCTATAGGCCATAAAAACAAACATTTGTCATTAAGTTGATGAAAGAATCGACTTGATAACGATCTCAACATACAAAAACGCCAAACTGCTATATAAACAGGGTTTCTACTTTCACTTTCAAATCAGTACGTAACAAAAGTCAAAACAAAAAGAAACAAAGTAATGCTTTTAGCCTAACATGTAAACTGTAATGTTTACATCCATTTAGAAACAAATTTATCCAAAATTATTACTTACAGATCACTAACGCGTAACGTTATGTAGGTTTACGAAATGCATTAATTATTACAAGTGTTGAGAGTATTACAGAGATGAGTTCATACGAACGTGTAACCGTAATGAAACGATATTAAAACAATATGAATTAAAATCTCTTTTAAAAATTGTTAGGAGATTACTTACTTTTTCCAACACCTAGCACTTCTGCTGCAGCAGTGACGTCAAACATGACGTACACTTTCATCCGATAGAAGTCAAAACCGGTCCGGGAAAAATACGGATTTTTTTTTATTTTACTCAAGTAATAAACCCAAATCCAAAAGATTTGAAATAAAAAGCAAATTAATTTATTCTTTATCAATTTTGTCTGGGATAAGCATTATTACTGAAAAAGGAAATAGTGAAAGGTTTTTTTAAAATAAGGGAAAAGGGGGGGGGGGGGGGGTGTTAAACAGAGTAGAACTTAACATTTTTATTGCTAACAAATTCTTTTGAAATTGATGTACATTTGAAATTACTATTGAGATATATTATTGAAATTGCAAATTAACTTGAGGCAAGGGCAAATTAGTGAATACTGTTTCATATGATTCTCATATGATCAATGTTTCATATGATTCTCATATGATCACTGTCAAATATTCATATGATTTTTCTTGAATATAACAAGGGCAAATTAGTGAATGTGGTTTCATATGATTCTCATATGACCACTGCCAAAATATACATATGATTCTCATATGTAAGACCTTTCATATGAGAATCATATGTATATTACCTCATATGATTAACATATGTTTGATCATATGATTCTCATATGATTGTCCACATATGATTCTCATATGATTGTATATACATATGATTCTCATATGATCCACATATGATCTTGATATGAAAGGCAATGCATATGTGGATCATATGTGGCTAAATTGCCTATGTATAACTGAATGTTTTTAAGTTTATTAATTCAAAGTATGAAAATGATGTCAATATGTAGGTGAATCAAGACAAAAAAGTAGGACTCGGCTATACATGAACAAGCTTAAGTCGGTTGTCGGGATGGGGTCAGTGACATAGAAAAGTAATTAATTAAATTACAATGACTATCCCGAAACCTTCAATTAAATTAAAATGTAATTAATTAAATTACAAATTACATTCAAGAATACACGTATAAGATTAAATAGTCATGTACATTCCTTTACATTTATAACAGATTATTTTACAACATCTTTTACAATAATATTATTAAAAGCTTCATACATTTTTCAAATATTGTGTCCCCAAATCTAATATAATCCATGCTGAAGATTATTTTGACTGGATTATTTTTGAGAAAATCGCATACATGTAGATACTGACTATAGTAGTTTTACCTTAAAGGGGCTGGGTGGTCGTGGCCATTTTTAGACTATTTTGATCTCCTTTAGAAGAAGAGCTCCACATAAAGATATTAAAAAAAATGATGAAATTTTAAAACTAAAATTTATGAATTTTTTTTTGCCAAATGATAGTTGACAGCTTTAGATATCATATCTAAAAAACTAAGTTATATCTGTTGGTTAATAAATAAAATAATTCGTTGACCCACTAGCCTCCTTTATTCATGTGTTAGAAATTTGTAATCATTTTTATGTTTTCCCAGTAATTTATGTTAAACATACAATTGATGCTTTTTGTCTTAATATTTCCTTATTTCAGCATCATAAGTTTATCTCAAGATGTGGGTATTTGACTTATTCTGTGCCAAACTTTAATTTAAAGTCAAAAAGTGTGTATAAAAACACTAACAGACGAAGACAAAATGTTTGAAAAATGTTCATTTAGGAATAAGTGCATGACCCCAGGACATTAATTATGCATAATCATGCAGATTAATTATTTAAAAAATCAAATAATGAATTTTATTTGTTAGCTTTACAAAGATTAATTTGATTTAAAAGGTTTTTTTTAATGAAAAGGGCATTATATTTAAACAGCAATAATCTTAAAAGGGTACTGTGAAATCACTAATTTTCGTTTTCAAATGCACAACTACTAAAAAGTTCTTCATCCACGAAATCAAATCCCCACGAACTAATATTTTTTCCTCAAACCACGAAAATTTGACCCCACGAAAGTATGTGATTTTACAGTAGTTCTTTTCAAGAAATTTTACTATTAAAATTTTTGGTCCAAAAGATCAGTTAACCTTCCATAAATAATGTTTATGAGACTGAGGGGGAGGGGACTATTTTTCATTTATTTAAAATCAGTGTAATTGAATGTAATTGAATTTTAATTATAAATTACATGCCTTTGTGGAAAGTTATTAATTAAATTACCATTACTTGTAATTGAAAATTTTGTCAATTACACATTACTGTCAATTACATTGAAATGTTATTAATTACAGTCAATTACCATTTCACATTTCCAATACCCCATGTCAGACGAATGTAAAGTTAAGGTGCAATATCCCTCTGCTTCAAAATGCATAATTTTTTTTTAAAAAATTCAAAACATTGATTTTGTTCAACAACATAGCATTAGATTCAAATGGAAAATAACATTCATTTCCTGAAAGAGTAAGCAATGCTTCAGGCTATTTTCCATTTGAATTTTGTGCTATTGTTTTTGATTGTAATTTTTTGAAAAAAAAAAGAATTGATGAAATTTAGAGCAGAGGGATATTTCACCTTATCTTATATAATAATTAAATTTCAAAAAATGTATTCATTGATAAATGGTACAAAACTCTTGTTTTAAAATATATTTTATTGAGTCATTATTTGCACGAGTTATTTACGGATCATGGAAAAAAAGAAACAAATACACGCATAAAATCCATTAACTGTGTTTCTTATTTTGCGAAAGGATTAAAATCGTGATTTTTCCATTAATATCTTTGACAGATACGAAAGAAAAACTTAAAGAAATTCAAAAGTTTACGGATACTCATGCAAAAACAGAAGAAGAGCTTCAAAATAGGTGTTTATATGTACAAAGGAATGGACATATATTTGTGTTAATTGTATTATAGCCTCCTTTTTCCCGAAGGACCTCATGATTTACATAATGCAAGAGATTTTTAGGTCAATGACATTTTAGAATTGATAAGATTTCATTTTTTAAAAAGAAATTATCAAACCTACGAATTTTGAGTTTTGATTATGATACATTTCTGCACTTTCACGAATATGTATTCCGTATATTGTCCAGGGAAGTGGGGAAGATAAGAGGTATTTCTGTAAGAAAAAAATTACACTTCGATCGAGAAAATAAGAAAGCAAATTTTAGTTTTTGTTCAGTGATGGGAGCAGTGTCAGAAAATTGAATATTTTATAAATTACAACCTCGTATTAATGTTATAAACAAACGCC